CATTTCTGTTTTACATACATTATCTATCACTACCATGACCCGAAGAGAAAGCCGGAAAGTCATGGTAGTTCAGAAAGTTCTCTGAAAACTCACTTGGCTTTTCTACTGCCGTAGATACCTACTTTTTTTACAGCCATCCTGAATTTCTATTGGTCAGGATACACAACGAATAAAGCAGTTGTACGTGGAAACGAGTGCTTTTATAGTTAGGTGCGTGATGATCGAAAAAAATTGTAAAAGTCGAGAAAACCCTTCAACGTCCTGGGGTTTGAAGTAATTCTAAGCATAATGATAACAATCGCTTTCAATATCTCTTAGCGGGTTAAAGGGTACTCCGTCCTTATATGTATATAACAATAATTATAAAAGGCAAGTTTTAACTTATATTGCCTTGAATTAGAGGATTTTAAAGCTTAAACTTCATTTGATTTTTTATATTCTTGTTTTCTTCGTGTGTTTGTGTGTAATTTGATATTTTGCATTATCGAATATGTAACTCTGACTGATATATTTCGAAATAAATATAAATTACTATAGCACAGAAAGTCATTATCGTAAGAAAAGATGCAGCTTCAACTATTCTGTCTGTTTCTTCAATTTTCCGTGAGTTTTTCACAACCTGCAGATAAAAAAGCAAATGAAAAAACCAAACAAATTCTTAGTTATATTGCTAACTTGCCGGGACAAGGTAAAACTTTTGAATGTATTTGAGAACATGCTTGCTTCTGGTTGAAATCAATATTCCGCTAACCGTTGCTTGAAACATTTTGGATATTTGTACGTCACTGTTCATTCAAATAGATGGCAAACAAGGCCATTCAGCCGTCGGCGTTTATTTGCATCAAAAACGTTTTTAATGACTTCTATTTTAGTCATAGCATCGATAATCCGAATTCCGAATATCAGCATGAGACGGGTGGATAGGCCTCCAGAGATTATTTTTCTGCAAAACCAGTTTTTCAGAAACTCTAAATGATAATCAAAACCTTTCTTAAGGAGATATGATTGTAGCCCGCAAATTTCTGATTAACACGAGACATCTCCCACCCCTACACGACCTTTTTTTGCAAAGTTATAGAATTTACGAGAAAAGCCCTAAATTCATTTCTTCTTATTTCTGTAGCTTTGCGCTGACAATGAATATGTAGGGCTTTTCTTTTAAATTCTATAACTTTGCAAAAAAAAGGTCGTGTAGAGGTGGGAGATGTCTCATTTTAATCAGCAATATGCGGGCTACATCAGGCGTCATCAAGAAAGGTTATCCATAGTCTACTAGGTTTCGGCTCGAAAGCGATTTGACAGTCGGGAACGTTTCTTTATTAGTACAGAAAAAGTTGTAATCATTTTTAACTGCATAAAACAGTAATATACGATTTATTTTGGCAGAAGAAAATGTGTTCGATTCTGTTCATTATCTAAAGAAGCTTTTTTTGTTATGTTTCTTAATGATTTGCTGGTTTATTCCATTATGCACAGTTGTTTGTCTATTTTAATAGGTAAAGTATTATCGGGTTTGTTTGGTGGATATAGTCCGGATACATTCAGCAGACAACAATTTGATCAATTAGCTCAACAAACCGGTCATCAGCCAGCAATCATGGGATGTGATTATGCGTGCGGTTGGAATAACAATAATAACCCGGAAAAGCTCATTGACTTTTCATGTAATCCATCATTGAAAAATCACTGGAGTAAAGGAGGATTTGTGACAGTAAATATGCACTTACCAAATCCAGTGTTTGCTAATGGCGGCGGATACAAGGTATAACTCATTAAAAAGACTTTTTAATACTATTTTTTATTTAAAAATTTCATCTCATGTATCTGTGTAGGATCGAGGAAATTTAGATTTTAATGATTTAACAAAGCCGCAAACAACCACTGGAAAACGGTGGCGATCATTTCTAGACAGAATTGCACAAGGTCTCAATGATTTACAGCAAGCAGGCGTAACAGTTTTATATAGACCATTACACGAAATGAATGGTGATTGGTTTTATTGGTGTGGGCAAGTCAGTACATATCAGTGACTTTTTTCTTTCTCGTGTCATTAATACATATTTATTTACTTTTTGAAAAAAAGGACGCAAACACATTCAAAAATGTTTGGATTGACATGTTTAACTATTTCACAAATACGAAAGGTTTACATAATTTATTGTGGGTATTTTCACCTGATCAGAGTCGAAAAAATCCATCAATGTACTATCCAGGTGCCAATTATGTTGATATTACGGCACTAGATGTTTACACAGATGAACCGGTAATAATCAATAACTTTTACTTCACAGTCTCATTCTCACTTTTACTTCGCAGTCATTTTTGCTATAGTTCTATTCTAATTCTTATTAATTCATGTTCTTTAGACGAACATGAACGGGTACGCTGAAATGATCAATCTTAAGAAACCGTTTGCTCTTGGAGAAGTTGGACCATCAACTACGAACGGTCAATTTGATTATATGAAATGGTAAATGGTAATTTCTTATATCTGTTGACGACGTTGACTATGACGTGTATTCTTTCAGGATATCAGCATTCGAAAATAAATTTCAGAAAGTTTCGTATTTTTTGTCATGGAACGATGGTTGGAGCCCGGTATCAAATAAAAATGCAAAATCTTTCTTCAGTCACAAACGCCTTGTAAATCGTGATCAAATCAACCTTGGAGGAAACAACAACAATAATGGAAACAATAACAACAATAATAACGGTAAAATTGTTTTACATCGTTTCACCGACGGTATTGGAAAATGGGCTGGTCAAGATATTTCTGCCGGACCGTGGAAATCAAATGAATTTGTTGTTAGTGGTACAGAGAGTTTGAAAGCAGATATTAATTTGAAGGATAATGCTCGATACGTATTGTATAATCAACAATCGTATACTAATTTGTCTGGTAAAAAAACTTTGAAAGCACATGCGCGGTATGCTCCATGGGGTAATGTTGGTGGTAATGGAATCTCAGCAAAATTGTACGCAAAGTCTGGTAACGATTGGAAATGGCTCGATAATGGATTGAAAAAGTTGTCGAATAACGGTGATACAGAATTAGCGTTGGATATAATGAATATAAAAGACATCAAAGAAATTGGAGTAGAGTATTCCACAAAGACTGGTAGCTCTGGTCAATCAGCGATTTATTTAGCCTACATTACTGCGGAATAGAACTACGCGCATGATAATTATTTCATGAAAGAACTGAATACTTCAAATGAAGGAAAATAGCAGATTCTCACTAATAATGCGTACATTGTACTGGAAATGCTTTAGAAAATCTATAGTCGTAGAGAAATAATTCTTTTGCAGAAAAAATGTTGACTTCGACTTACAGTTTTACATTCTGTTCAGTTTTCGTACGAATATGATCACCTTAGTAAGACATAAAAAGAATTGATAACACGATTCTTCCTCCAGCACATAATCGTCTGAAAAAGAGAGCTAACTTAGCGTTTATTGCAAGCATATCACCGGACTTCGAAATTTTCAAATGCGATTTGAGTCCGGGGGAAGGCGATATTCGGAATCAGCGTGGTCGATTGCCTATGGGTCCCTGATTTTTAGTTCGGGGCACTTCCGGAAATTAAAGTCGCGAGTCTTTAAAAAAAATTCGAAAAAAAATTTACGCGCTGACGAGGAATCAAACCTCGATTCTGTCTCGTCATAAACAGAGGTTTTATCTATCGTGTCATCAACGCTCTTCAGCAAGTAGATACATTTTATACTGTAGGTGTTGCTGTTTGGTATCGATTTTTCATAACCAATATTTTCATATTGTCTCTATAGTTTACTGAGCTACGAATCTATACTCTTGTCGTCTGGTCTACTATCGAGTACAGATGATAGAAAACGAAAACAATAAGTAAGAGTATTTTTCTTCCTTATAATGAAATTTTTCGTTATTTTTCAACATTTTCTTATGCGCTTGAGTTTTCTTTGAACCAGAACAGCTGGCTTCGTTCTGAGCTTTTTCTAAAAAGGAGGAATTAAGGAGGAATCGCAAAATCTTGAAAGGAGGAACGCCACTAAAAAAAGGAGGATGTAAATCCTCAGCTAAAAACACTAATTTCACATAATAGATGAGCGATAGAGCTGAGCCTTGCTTTAGCTATAAATTAACCGGTGAACCGTTTCTACTTTTGCTATCCAGCCAACTACGGTTGAACTTGGACCCTTTTGGCATAAATATGGTTTTATCTAAAATTGTTTTATATCTATCCATGAGGACGTTTTAAGCAACTGTCGGGCGATATAACTCGATATTAGAGGGTAGACAAAAAAAATATTGAAGTAGAGCGCGATAAGAGACATAGCTAACTGTAACGATCAATCATTGCCTACCGCCAGAAAGACCACGTTTATCGCAATAGATACTCGTACCTTGTTTCTATCTAGATCCGGATGAGTTATGATACATCTATGTATATTGTTGACCGCGTTAACTATGCTGTTTATCAGACGATGTATACTGTACCATGATACATCTTCTTAAGTTCTATAGCGCTAAATCCCGATACTTTGAGTGTCAAGTTAGTTGCAGCATTTATCAAGATTATATTTATGTTGTAGCTAATTAAGACAATTTTCTTTATTTCAATAGTTAGGTGCTTGTAGTCTTCCCGCGATAAACGCAATGTTAGGACGCTGCGTGCCACAGTGGTACATCAAGATATTCTGCTCGAAAACTCAAATGTTTTTCTTTTTCGTTTTTCTAACTTTCGAAAGTATTTTTTCGGATTCAGCGTTAAAATCTGAGTATGAGAATGATGTACATCTATGTCCTAGATGTTCCATGGCACCAGATGACATTTCACTTTCGTCACAGCAATGCTCATCTGTCAATAGGGAGACTGGCGTCTGGGAAATGAAATTTGGCGTGGGTATTGTATGGGTATTACCGAGTAGTTTCAAATAAACATAAGTTTTGGTTGTGGTTTTCTTGACTTGCATGATTGTAAATGCTGTTGCTGGAGGAAGTATGACTTCTTCTTCGTCGTAGTCGGAATGTTGCGATATGCCCAGCCCGCCGTTGTCTGTCGCGTTGATGATGAATAAGGTATTGCCGAAGTTTTGCGCTTTCTGAGGGTTTTTGCTAGTTGAGGTAAAGCCATTCCAGCATCTGCGCTGGCCGGTAGCTTTCTCATACGATTTTAGCGTGTTCTGATCGATGTTTACATCTCGATACAGTTCCGCTGCGTGTTTTGTATCAGTTTTTAGCCAGCTTCTGAACAGAATGTAACAAAATGGTCCCAAAGTGTTTATTTTGCTCGCGTCGGTTTCTCTCAGTACTTCTTACAGAAAAACTGTCAAATGTAGTTTACTTCCTAAACTGCTCTCAGCTTCACTGATGCGCACATCGGTTGCATTAACACTAACTTCAGTGAGAGCACGCTGAAGTTCAACTTTGTGCTGTTGACGTAACTGACTTATCTAAAACAACACAGATTAAGGACAATAAATTCTTGAGTAGCTTGAAATGGCGAGAGGTGATCGGTGATATCTATAGGAAAGCTAACTTCAATATCTAATCATTGATCTGAGTTGTCTGTAGATATAGTCACTCTCGGGTGAGTCTATGTAACGTCTTCACATCTTACAAAACTTACAAAGTTCATGGAGTTACGTAACAAAATATTGTTTTTCACTTCATAGCTGCTGCAGAAAACGAGAAAAATGGACCTTAGTTGAATGAAAATGAACTAGGGTGGCCAAACGGATCGCTACGATCAACGCGTTTTTCGTGATTTTATCGGGGGAACGCACTGATCTTAGTATTACGGGTGGTCACCCTGAAAAGGACTATTATGTAATGATATCATTCTCTTTTTTCAATCGGTCAAAAAGTACTGCTTGGCATTCTTCACTAGAAAAGAGGGGGAGTACCCTTAATCAGAGATGTATAGAAAGCATGCATTAGAAGCAGTTTTTATAGTCTACTGGTTAATGTTTTTTCTGAAGAAACAGCGAATAGACAACAGTCATAGTTATGAGCGGTAGCGCATATCTCTATGAAACTACTTTCGGCTTTATTCCAGTAACGATTTACAATAATAAATACAAACTTTGACTAACATCAATAAACCTTTATCTACAATTTATGGATCGAATCAAAAGCGCTTTTCACAAGTTTTTCATCAGCAGCTACTCTCTGATACTGATCGAACGTTAAAGACTTCAAGTTCTACACGCTAGCACCTCAAATGCTTGCCATTTGCATAGTAATATTCTTGGTTTTGCTGTTTGTCCTTTCTAAAAAGAACCTTCTGTAATTACGGAACGAGTTGCTACTCAAATTGTACTCGCTGTACTGCCATTTTTTGTCTTTTATGCCCACTTGTGAGTTCGTAGTACTGCTGATTAGTTTTCCTTGTTGTTAAGACACAAAACAGAATCAGACTGTTTCTTTGAGATGCCGTATGTTTTTCATCTTGGATTGTTAGACAGAGTTTGTAAAGTTTATTCCTACGATTTTATCACAGTAAATCTGTTTTCTGCAGGATGATTCTACATAACACTGAGAAATTGATATAGATAAGTGCAGCTGCTTCTTTAGTGCGGAAACTCCGTTTTCCCCATTTGTCGTAAAAAAAAGTATCTGGTTTTTTAGGCAAGTCGGCACTTTCGTCGCACGTTGCATGAAACGGCTGCGATGAAATCAAGATTTAGTACAAAATTCATTAGTCCATAGTGTTGTCGTGCAAACTGGAGTAGTCCAAACTGCAGTAATGCAAACTGTAGCAGTGCAAATTGGAGTAATAACTTCTTGCTTTTTTCTTTACAAACATGATATTCTCTTAGCGAAACGTGTAAAACCCGTTCGAAGTCTTTTTCTAAAGTCAAAGCATCAAAATCAAGCGTCTGTTGCGTTTGCGAGTAGTTCTGTCTGAGATGATCCACACTGCAGCAGTCCAATTTGGAGTAGTCCAAATGCAAGCAGTTCTAGTCCAAATTGGAGTTGTCCAGTAGCTTTTTGGATTGTGACGAAAGTTCACGATGTGGTGTGACGAAAATTGTAGATATGTTCAAAAGTTGGTTACGAAAGTCCACCACTCTTGTGACCAAAGTGTGGGGTGGTACCCCAAAAATACCATACACTTTCGTAACGTGTGACAAAAGTTCTTTTTTCTATGCGACGAAAATTAACATGACGAAAGTGCTATCACCTGTCAGTTTAGGTCTTTCTTTTCCTCAAAAGAGAACAAACGTTTAATATAAATAGCGTCAGATTGTACAGCATAAAATTCTGCATGTTTTGACATTAAAATAATTATTTGAAAGTTGAACTGAGAGGTCAATAACGCTTTGCAAAAGAAGTCAAGTTTATTGTGAAATTAGAATAGTTTAATATCGTGAATATTTTCCTAAAATTTTGAAATTCATTTCAAAACAAAATTAGAAATTTTCTAGAAAATTAAATTCTGTCTTCTTAGCTAAATATTAAAATTTTAAACGCAAATCAATATGGATAAATTAAATCTGAATATCCATCGGCATTTCTTCAACTTGTGTATTGTAAAATTGTTCGATGTCACGAAGTGTACTACGATCTTCATTAGTAATAAAATTAACTGCAACACCTTTTCGTCCAAAACGTCCACTACGGCCAATACTGCAATGAAATAAGTTCATATTTTAGAATAGCTCAGCGGAAATGCGTTATGCGTCCTTTAGTACCAATGCTAACTGCTTTATAAAAAATTCACGCCGTAATACAGTCCTCATATTCTCTGTATAGATAATCACAGTCTGAGGGGAAACGAACCATATCCAAATTTCCTTATTCATATAATTTGTGAAAGTGCGATTTAACTCAGCTACAGTACTGGCCATAATTATATGTTCACCTTTATTTTTAATTTTTCTCGTCGACCATAATAGCTAGAACCAATGTGAAAACGATTTGAACAACTGAGAGAGTTTATAATCAGGTGAGATGCATATGAAAATTCCTGCAAACCAGGTCTGTGTAAAACCAAGATTTTAGAAAATGCCAAAAAAACCAAGTCCCACGACCGAATGGAAACTTTTTATAACAGCCCATTCGTGCAGAGCAAACATTTCTGAACAAAACTAGACCTCGCCGAACTCTCTACGACGTTTTTCATCGAACTGCATTCAATTTACGAAAGGTCTCTCGGTCATTTTCACTAACATTTTTGATCTTTTTCTAGCGATTTTGTTGATTGCGATGTGGAGGGGCCTTTTGTAAATTGAATGGAGTTCGATGGAAAAACGCCGTGGAGAGTTCGGCGACGTCTAGTATTGTTCAGAAACGCTTGCTCTACATGAATGGACTATTTATAAAAAGTTTTCGTTGGAATCCCAAGACCTGATCTTCTGGAGTTTTCTAAATCTTGGTTTTCCACAGACCTGGTTTGCAGAAATTTTCATATGCATCTCACCTGATTATAAACTCTTTCACTTGTTTAAATAGTTTTTCACATCTGTTCTAGCTATTTGAGGAGAAAAATTAAAAATAAAGGTGAACCTATAATTTTGGCCAGTACTCTACGTAAAACAAACATAATTTTCTCGCTGCAACGTTACGTACCGATGGATGTATTTTTCACGGTCACTTGGCAAATCATAATTGATAACCAATGAAACTTGGTGAACATCAATACCACGTGCTAGTAAATCTGTTGCTATTAAAACACGACTAGAACCGCTTCGAAATTGTTTCATGAGAAGCTCTCGTTCCTTTGATTCCATATCACCGTGCTAAATAAACAAAACAAAAACAAAAGTAATTGTCTTAGGCTACTCAAATTATTCGAAACTTTTCTGCGAGAAGAATCGAACGGATTCTAGGGCGCAACTGCTTTTCACAAGATGAGTAGTGAGAGTCTCTTATTTTAACTGGCTTCCACAGATTTTAGCGAGAATTACATGCATTCGTTACTCGCCAGCTCACCAAAACTCATTTCCATGAACAACAACTTATGGTCAAATCCCACAGCTACTAAGAGGATATATAAAAGATCAGTTTTATGCATTTAAATAAATAATAATGGCATCTAGTACATACGATCATCTAATCAATTTTCTTTTTTTCTACTGTATGAGTTAACTTACTATTTGTGACACAGTGAAATCGCGACTACGCATTTGTTGTGTTAACCAATTAACTTTTCGTCGAGTATTACAAAATATGACTGCTTGTACAATTGTAAATCTTTCATAAAGATCACACAATGTATCGAATTTACAGTCCTTTAAAAATATATAAAGGAAATAATCAGTTGTTGATTCTTTGTCAACTATGACAAAGCACTTACTTCACGTTCAACATTTACATAAAATTGTTGAATACCTTCGAGTGTGACTTCTTCTTTTTTCACAAGAATTTTGATTGGATCATTCATAAATTTTGTTGTTACATCTAATATCTCTCTAGGCATCGTGGCAGATAAGAGAACGACCTAGAACAACAATAGAAACTGCATAATGGAAGAAAAAGTTTTATACATCTAAACTAACCTGAATACTTTCAGGCATCGTTGTAAAAATATCATAAATTTGTTCTTTAAAACCCTGTGACAACATTTCATCAGCTTCGTCTAATACCAACATTTTGATGTGTTTAATACCTATATAGAAAAGAAATACGTTGAATGGAAAGAAAAACCAGAGATGTGTGATCAAACCCTAGCGATCGATTCTTATATAAGACTCTTATCAGAAACTTATAAGCCTGTTATCAATTTCTTATATGATTGTTTAAGATTTTTCATCGAAAGTGTTATAAGAGTCCGATAAGGTTTTCATAAGAAGTTCGTAACAAAAATATAAGAAATCTCCAAGTCGAATGCTGAGCAGAAACAAAGCCTGATTTCCAGTTTTATGGAATATTATTCTCTTTCATAGAAAGTGCATGAATGATCAAAACTGATAAAAAATCAAATTCCATTCAGCTGTCCGGCTATCTTAACCATTAGGCATCACTTATGAGTGATGCGCTTACTCTTCTTATATTATTATATCAGAGTATTTTAGACAGGAATGAAAATTACATTGAGAACTATAAAATATTACTTGATTAACTAGTTAATACATTCCAGCAAAATAACAACGTTTGTATTTTAAAAAAAGAGTTATACGAGTACACAATAGAGGTCTGCGGGACAGTCCCAGTTTCGGTCACATCCCGGTCCCGCGGGACTTTTTACGGGACCGGGACCTAGAGGTCTGTGGGACGGTCCCGATCCTGCGGGATTGTCCCGGTCCCGTAGAACTTTTAATAGGACCGCGATCAGGTTTTTTTGAAAATAGTCTTGTATGAAGTTAAAAAATTTCTTTGAAAAAATATTTACGGGACCACGGGACCAAAAATGAGTTCTTTCCACGGGACCGGAACCAAAACTTTTTTTGTTCACGGGACCGGGACCAAAAACGTTTGGTCCCGCAGACCTCTAATACACAACCACAAGCCAACAAAATAAATCACCGTTATGGTCATTTATTTTGAAAAGAATTGGGAAACAACTTAATCATGACAGAAATAGGAAAAATCGTGTCATAAGCTCCTTTCTAGTAGATAAAAATAACATACGAATTTTTGGTGTTTCCTATGAATTTCTTATGAAACTTCTTATGAAAATCTTATCGGATTCTTATAAAACCCTTACGACTAACGATGAGAAATCTTAAACAATCTTACATAAGAAACTGGTAAGATTCTTATGAGAATTCCACTAGTTTACAATAAGGTTTTTGTTAAGGGCGAAAGCTTACGAAGTGCTCGACGATTTATCATATCGAAGACACGTCCAGGCGTTCCAACAACAATTTGAACGCCTTGTTCAAGACGTTTAATGCCATCATTAACATCTGTACCACCAACACAAACGTGACACGTGACATTCATATAATCACCTAGTGCTAATACAACCTTTTGCGTCTAGACGTAGAAAAGATTAAAAAAGCAATATTACTATTTCAAGAAATAGTCATACGTGAATTTTGCCTCAGCGGCATTGAGCATTGAGCTAATATCACAAGGTCTCTACTAAAGCGAGTAACATACCTGTTGAGCTAACTCTCTTGTTGGAGCCAAAATAAGCGCTTGACATTCTTTCAAATCAAGATCTATTCGTTGAAGAATAGAGATGGCAAATGTAGCTGTTTTTCCAGTACCAGATTGTGCTTGTGCAATAATATCTCGGCCTAAGTGATTCAAAGAAAAACGAAGCATGTACAGAGTGATATTACTTAAATAATCACAGACAAATCATCGTACCTGATATGCATGGTTTAATGGCACGTTGCTGAATAGCAGACGGTTGTTCAAACCCATAACCATAAATACCACGTAAAAGTGGATCTCGTAAATTCATCTGATCGAATTGCTCCACCATCTCTGTCCAATTACTTTCGATGACCCCATCTATATGATAAAAGAATCATGACTTCACGCTCTTCGGACATCACGAAAGCTTCTTACTGGGTTCCATCGACTGAACTCCTGAATTTTGGTTGGTCTTGATGTCATTTCTAGTGGAGAAAAAATAAATTATTATCACGCTCTGGAAACAAACAAATTTAGTACTTTTCACTAGACATTTTGGTTTAATGACTCCATAGTAACGGTAAAGAATAATGTGTATGTAGTATTTTAGATTTTGTAAAGTATTGATAGAAAGACATGAAGTTTGAATGTATTTGTAGTAGTTAGAGTAATTGCGCAATTTCTGTGAAGTAATTTCGCAATAAAATAATTACGCAATAACTTCGATTTGTGTGTACATATGAGTCATGTTAAAGGTTAAATTCTTTATCTGCAAATTGATACATGTGTTTAATTTGAAGCTCATATTGAAGATGAGAATTTTATTCGAAGCGTACGCTGATGATAATGCCATCATTGGACGTATGATTTATGCAGAAAAAGTATTATCGCATATGATAACATCAAATATTGTAGATCTTTATGCAATTGCTTATGTATGCGAATTTATTACTCCTTCCCTAGTGAAAGTACTCATACGATGAGTACGACTTTACTCATAATTCGTCCATGAGTACTCATATTGGTACTACTAACAATTTCTGAGTATTGTTACTCAGTGAGTACTCAGTTACTCATGTGAGT